CTTTGCATTCTGCACCTTATCACCTCCAAGACTGGCGCGTATCTTTCTCCGCGGTCGCGCACGCCTTGGTTTTCGAAGATAACCGCCAGATGGCGCTCCTGTCTAACGTGCTTAGGTGGGCTTGTTCACCTCCGCTACACGCTCGAGGCACTCTAACGCAGCACCTTCAAAATACCATTCACCGATTTTCTTGCGCAGAACATCAAATCAACGTTTTGTTCACTCTCTCCAGACGCAAGACTATCGTCTTTCGACGACATTATAGTGTAACGTGTAAATTCGGGCCATTTTTTTCTTCATTTTTTCTTCTTTAAACACGTAGACACAACGTGTCGGATTTTCAATAGCGCATTTTTTAAGTTTTTGTTCATTTGACAAAGCTGACGCTACTTCATTTGGACTTCAATGGTACATGTTACGTTAGCTTTCTTCCGGCTTCTATCGTCCTCAAGGTGCGCTAGATAGTGGACCCGATACATATTCAAACATATAAAAAGTATGTGCAGTCCCACCTATGTATATAGTGTAGGAAAGCATGTTGTATGAGAAGCTAAAGCTAAGGAATTCAGAAATGAATAGCAGTACTCGGTCAGTGCAGAGTGCCATGTCAACGAGGTTGGTGGTCACTTGGGGTGACCGCCGTGCACGAAGGGCCTTAGTAGGCTGTTGATACATATTATGGGAGCTGCGGCTACAGGCGTGCCTACCATAACAGAAGAGAACGATGAACGATGACATCATAGCAGCTCACACTGAGCGGCCGCTCACACAGTATTTAGTAGAGGGGCGCAGCCAGGGGGTGGCACACCGGGCACGTGCTTCCCCCCCACCCCATTTTTTCTCCCGAACAAAAAATTTCCGGCTACGCGCCTGATCGAACACCATCAGCAAGATTGCATCATGATCATCGTGGCGGAGGCTTCGATGAGTAAAGACGCGTTCTTTAGTGTCTTGCTGTCGTCTCTGAGGTTTTCCTCTCCAGCTGCCGCGAGAACCCGCAATATAAAGTGTCGCAGCAGAAAGTTTTCTGAATAGTGTTAATCCTAATATCGAAGCTCTGTGTTGTCCAGCGGATAGTCTTTAGTCCGCCAACACGAATGAAGCGCCCGTAACGAGTTCACTACTTATGTTTTGCCATTATTATCTTGATAGAATTGGTCATCAAATAATCACAGTAACTAATGCTATGGAATTAAGAAAAGAAAAGCTGTACTCGACCAATATGCTTAACACAGCGATGCTAAAGTTGATCACCTTGGGTGACCAGCATGCACTGAAGACCCTTACAAGAGTGATGATACATAATTTTCTATAGTTCTAATGAAGCTGTTTTTCAAGATATATAGAAGCACCCTCAAGAATAACTTGAATGTGGGCTACACTTAAAGCCCCTTTGCTCCTGCTGGGCAAGGAGCACTGATTTGAGGCCTTTCACTGAAAGCGATCGGTAGACCCTCCCTGCATGGTGGCCTCCAGAGGTGACCACCTCAATATCTTTTAAACTAAAAGTACCATTTTTTTTCTAAAAGTGATTTCTGCAAAAGAGTTCAGCATATTTTGAATGAAACTCACTTTCCCGCCGAAAATGGACATGCTTGCATGGAAGAGTTAAAAGATGTTCGTAGTTTTCACGTGATATAACCTGATAATTTATAACAGGACCTCTGAAGAGAGGTTGCTGCTGCATAAGACACATTACAACGCACCTGTCTCGGAGTTCTTGGAAACAAAGGCATTGAAGATACATTCCTTTTCTATGAATTCTCCATACCTTTATAATCAGAACTGTTTACCGTTATTTTTTACGGTACTCGTTTGATGTCACTTTCATACCTTTATTATCTCATGTTTCACACGCTTTTAGCACAAAGAAAATTTGGCCCCTGTTTAGCTAGTCATCATACCGATTGCCCATATTGCTTTTTGTCTCAAAGTACTGGTGTTCTTTCACCACCGCATTGCTCTTGCGCCAAAAAAACACCATATATCTTGATCTTATTTGAAGTGGCCAGCTCATCACAGACTATAGTACTTAAACCTCAACTGCAATTACTTTTGGAATATGATCCACCTGTCAGTATCAGTAAACCTTCTCTGTAAGGACTCTCAAAAGAAAGTTATCAGTATTTTCAAAGAAACAAACAAAGTAAAGGCCTGGGATTTCTCAACAGCTTCATGACACACGTGTAATACTGTCATCTATTGGTCCTACATCTATGCTTTAAGCATCAGGTTGGCGTAATTAGAACAGTTGACTTGTGTTTATCTTGCTCATGCACTATGAGTGACTCGTTGATTCGTGCTTATCAAGCAATCTGCAATTCGACAAAAATACCCCTTGTCTAATGGCTACTGGGCTATATCACATCAAGTTTTCCTACAGTTGTAGAATCAGCAATTTAAACGTGGATACTCACAAAACGAGATGTTGGCAAAGCAGAGAAGCTGCTGAGAATAGAAAATTAGTACACGGAAAACTCACGGTGCTTCTCGCGGGGAACCTTCAGCAAAAAAGACAATGAAATCGCTAATCTTATGTCATGCTGAGTCAGTTTTACGTACATCTTGCCCCACACAAAGAAACTTCTGAAATCAGCGTCAAATGAGTAGCCAGCTTGGTTCACTTCAGTGAACACGTGTCATTTACACAAATGAACAATGCACTGGACAGGAACAAATGCTCACCTGTAAATAATATCTGCAAGTTTCAGACAGGCGAAGAAGGAGTGATACAGCTCGTTGCAACATCCGCGTAACGCACTGAAAATATGCCTGTTCCACTGCTTTATAGCTGCTTTTGCGGCTGATCACGTGTGTTTACCAGTGTCCTTGCATACTGCATTCAGTTACACCCCACCAGCGTAAAAAACGCGATGGCAGGTGACCCACGTCCTTAAAACGTGCAGGGTTAAACCTAGTTAAATCGGTAAAACAAAGAGCAGCTAAAGCATGAATTCGATCCCCGCATGAACAGCCTCGCGTTCGGATATTCAATCACAGTTTCAATTTCTTTATTTGAGACGTATATACACAATTCGCAGTGTCGAATATGTACACAAGGTCAGGCCAAGGAGACTCGTGCGTCATATAGTGAAGGCTTTGCCCCAGACTTACATGTCTGACAGCAGAAGGAAAGCCAGTAAAAGCATGTGAATTATAGAAATAAACAAGTGCTCGTTACACAGTTCGCAAACAAGAATAAAATGAAAAATGAACACATTGACGTGAAGATTAAGAAACAAGTTTCCACAAACTGTAAGAGTGAAAGTAACAGTCTTTGAATATGAAGGATGTTCTCCTACCGGCATTCAGCTCACGTTGTGCAAAGCCTAGAAGAGATGACTTCATTCCTGACACGATGCAGCTTAAGAGGCACCTAGAGGATGGCACAATTGTGACACACCACAATTTCAAACATATTTTTAAATGCCATCACTGGCTCGCCAATCCATGCGATTACTTTAGCTTAGCGACATCCTTTTCTCTTGTGCTGGCAAACTGATTAAGGTTAAGCCAGTTTTATGTTGTACCCTGAAGCTTTGCTGTGTTTTATTACCACTTTATTTTACCGCTTCAAATATTTCAGAGCAGACAACAATGAAATTTTGATCATGTGTGTTGCGAGCCTGGGAACCTATTTTTATCGCGCCACAGAGTGGTTGTTTATTGTCATCATGGGCTTATTTTGCTGGCAAAGAAGTTTATTAGGTCTTAAGAAAGTGGTACTTCGGCATTTCAAATCTTGCAGCTTGTTGTATCCTCTGCTCAGACATTAGCTATCATTGATGGGGGCAAATTCATTAGCTTTGTGGCTTAGAAGCAAATTGTATATAATAGCAGCCGAAGAAGCTTTTCAGCAAAAACGTTCAACTGGCAGAGGAGAGTATTTCGATTTTCTACGTCCTGTCATGGTTGTGTGAATTTAATTCAACTTCTCAAACTGCATGTGTCTTTCAAGAAGGCTCATGATACTTTATTTAACTCCACTTCTATTTCGTACACCACAATCACTTCCAATAGTATCACGCATTGTTAAATCCTTGCTTCTGTGATTTGCTTTGCCGCTGTCAAGACCCGTTCCATGAATACATCATGCGCTGATGCAAGTTGCTAAAAGCAGCGTTGATCACGAGAGATTGCGCTGTGATACAATCATCAATGGACTTCCATTCACAGCGTAGGTCTCTTGACGAATGAATCATTGCGCTTATCGTAAGTTGCAATATAAGGACTACAGTGCAAATTGTGGTGTCCGAGTTTTTCAAATCACATGCTATAATTTAACCCTTCTGTGAGAGGTGAATGCAGACAACACAAAGGTAAAACTGTTCTAGCCACCATGTAACTCATCATTTCCCATTTTATATGTTTGCGTTACACTTCTTTGAGTGTACTCCATTGTACTCACATGGCACTGTAACAAGCTGTACGGCGAGACAGAGCTCCGAAAGAGACGCTCGTTTTTGTGTGACAAGAACTCACGACTGCTATTTTCGGCACTTAAATTTTCACATCACACTTTATGCAGAGCCATTTATTGCACATGCCCTTCCTTTGGGACAAGTATTTTTGCTTACATTGACCAGTTGTCAACACAAGACCACTACAGTGCACATATGAACACATGTGATGGATGTCGCCCAAGAAAGGTTGAAATACAGAATTGTTAAAATACAGAATAGGTTATATCACACTTCCGTGGAAGCTTATGTAACAACCTACTCTGAAATCCGCTCATACATTCTCTGAGCATGTAGCATGTTGATCAATAAAAAAAACGAATACTCCTGCAATGCCATGCTCCATTTCAGTACTCTGCTGGTGTTTAGCCTCATCTAAATATTGTAAAACTTCGTCAGTTTGTATGAAAAACCGCATTCAGTGTATTAAGACTTGAATCTTTGGGAGAGTTTTTTGTAATTTATTCGTTACGCAAGTGGTGGAAAGCCCAAATTGCCACAAAACTGAAAAAAACTACGCTTCCTATTATACAGCTTAGATAAGCACGAACATAAAAGTGCACTTTATTTGCAGAATAATGTTGGGGTTTTCGGTTAAAATGAAGCTATCGTAAACAGTTCCCGCGTATATGAATGGAGGGCAATATAGCTGGAGAAGAGCGCCGCTCTGGTGGTCCGTTTCTCACAGTCCATACTTTCAAGTCCAACTTGCCACAAGCTTGAATTGCAGTGCAGATAAGTGTTCGCTGGTTATAAGCCGACCTATTAAGGACGCAATTGTCAGCAGTTAACACGCTACTATTGCTTTTACTGACAACGCCTTTATACAAGTACCAACCGTCGAAGCATTCTCGTTGCACTTTGAATTTGACGGTGAAATTACCGCCTTCTGCGGAAACCAGCTTCATATTAGTCGGCTCAGGGGGCGCTGAAAAAAAAAGGAAAATTCCGTTACAAACATTACTCGTGTTCCTTTGGTGAAATTAGTGTCGATGCCCAGGCATAGTGCTAAATTCGAAGCTATCGGGTTCGGTCAGTGCCGACAGCGAGTTATATTTTGATCCACATTTATTTATGAACAATTATATTACAATTACTTATAAAATGATCCTCTATACCATCCTTGGCTTAATTGTCTCTCAGTTCTCTTAATAATGTCTCTAAAAAGTAAACCAGTCCTTAAAATGACCCTTCTTTTCATCATTAATAGCGAGGTACCCGTTCTGGCCAACTTGATGCCCTCAGCTAGTATGCGAGGGATTACTGATCAGCTGCAAGCTTGTAATGAGGGCACATTCTACGTGACGGCAACAGGCGAAAATTGAGTTTCCCACACTCGCCGCAATGGCGACAGGTGGCGCTAAGTGACGCTCCCACGTTTAAGTACAGAAACATGTCCCATGAGGTGAACGGGGGGGGGGGGGGAGTGGGACAGCTTCCATGGTAGCTCAATTAGTACAGCATCAGACGCGTTATTCGAAGGTCGATGGTTTCGTTGCGGCCCACGGTAAGTTATGTTTTGCCCACCAATATTTCTTCCCAATTAAATTACAATCAGTTCTAATAACATATCCTGTATCATCCTTGGGAAATCGAAAACGAGAGATTTAATTGAAGGCTCACTCACACCTGCTTCATTTTATACTGTGGCTGGCATACCCAGCTGTGAAGATTTTTTGTGACGCCGCACAAACTACAGCGAGTTGCAACAGCTTTAGAATTAAAATGTAGACTTCAGTGGAAAGCAAGGCTCTTGGGCAATATGTATTGTCAGAGGTCGCGAGAATTCGACGGACCAACAGAAATGGTGCGTTGCCATTCATCGGCTTCGTGATGGTGCCGTGGCGAGGCATATGTATGAAGGCGTGAGGCAGCAATCCTCGGTGTACTGGAGCACCAAGCTCATTTGGAGCCTTTGGACGCATTGGCTACGAGCTTGCACCGTTCATGGCAACCTCGTCGCTCACGAGGATTCAGCTCTGGAGAGGCATCACCTCGAGGCTGGTACTGCGCAGTGTAATGTGTCGACAGCAAGCTTCTCACCCTGCCCTCATACCAACACTGGAGTCGGGCAGCGCTCTTACTCTGCGATAGTGTCCGACACAGTACCACCACAAGGAGCCGGGTCCACATTCCCTCCAGAGATGTTGGCTCGGCGTAGCCCTAGCTCACCTTTCCTTGGTGACCTGGATCTGCCGCATGCACTATTACTCTTGCTCAGTCACTCCAGACGCCGGACGTACCCAATGCCTTGTTAATCCGCAACACCATTTGCGGCAAATGTCAGAACATGCCTAGCTGTGATAGGGAGAGCCACCACTCAGCTAGAAACAGAATTGCAGTACTTGACTACAGACCTTCAATGGGTGGACGGGATGAAGTACCATGGGGTGAAGACACAGGAGTTCAGCGAGGTTTCACAGAACGAGGGCAACCTTCCCGCTCTCGTTCTGTGACGCCGGAAGGTTGCCCTCTCGCTATTGCCACGGTCTGCTCGCGAACTGAAACCTGCGCTGGACTCACAACCATGGCACCAGAAGAGCCGTCGGGCGTCAATCAAACCGAAGAGAGGGAGTGGTCCATTGATAAGGCGCCCGATGAAAGTCTTGACCTTCTTCTCACTGACAATCATGCGGGTGTCACCGAAAGGAAGCACTGAGAGGCCATGCCAGCCACGGTGCTTTCTCGGATACTGTTCCGACATTCTTCCCCAGGCATGCCGCCTTCCCCGTTATCTCTGTGAAAAAGCCAAAGCCGACCGACAGAAGCATGTCTTGCGGGTCACACGACGTCGCGCTGTGGTCGAGGCTGACCACTGCAATTTAATCAGCACCTCCTGCCAGACCTACCTCTTGCAGTCTACCAGCGAAGTCACCACATCACGAGGACCGACCGTTGTAAGGCAGCCAACATCGCCCACTGGTTGCACTTCGGGCAGGTATCCAGGACCACTCTCTTCGATACAGCCAAAGTCGCCCAACAGAGAAGTTTTTCATAGATACCCGATCCACTTTTCAGTGTGGTCAAGACCGACAACAACGAAGAAGCTAACCCCACCCACCAGAAGCATGGACGGCCTCTCCGCCCACTTCACAGTCATGGCCGAGTGTCGCGACCAAGAGAGACGCTGGGGCTCTGACATGAACGCACAAGCTAGGCGAGCGAGGTAGAGGACGAAGAAGCTCAGATAAAGAACTGCCAGCCCGAAACAAATGTTCTGTCTCTGTATTGTTTATTAGATAGATAGATATATGGGGTTTAACGTCCCAAAACCACCATATGATTATGAGAGATGCCGTAGTGGAGGGCTCCGGAAATTTAGACCACCTGGGGTTCTTTAACGTGCACCCAAATCTGAGCACACGGGCCTACAATATTTTTGCCTCCATCGGAAATTCAGCCGCCGCAGCCGGGATTCGATCCCGCGACCTGCGGGTCAGTAGCCGAGTACCTTAGCCACTAGACCACCGCGGCGGGGCTCTGTATTGTTTATTGCTTGCAGTATTAATATGCCGCTGTTTGTTTCCGAGCACCACAAATCTGCTTAACCTCCTACCTAATGAACCCCGTAATGCTCAGTGGTGCCATTGGTTTAACATGGTGGGTCACCACTGTTGGAGTTTTTCAAGCTGAAATTTCTCTTTGTGATAAATGGTACGAAGGAATATCCAATAGAAAGCAAATACACTTTCCTTTTTTTAAATGCAAATGAATTTCTTAATCGGGCTATGTCAGGCGTCCGTCGACATTCTTCCACCGCCCGCTATCTTAGCAACAGCCGCGGGCGCGTGCACCCCTAGCAACCGCAGTCCCCAACATGTCACGCTTCCGCGTCGGCAGCTGTCACCAACAGCTGCGGGCGCACGTGCTTATCCTTGCCCCTTCCAACCGGAGCCCCCACCTTCTTGACTTGAATGTGACTTGCCACCACCTCAATGCAGTGCCCTTGAAGCACGTTTGCAGCGTTTGTGCTTCCAGAGTTGGTGTTGATATGACGCTGACATCATGTCCGCCAGGTACAATAACAGGTGTTGTGCTTCACCGCTCCTTCTCTCGCAGTTCGACCTTTCTCCCTGTGCTCACTCTCCCGTCCGAAGGAGTCACTCTCGACTATTTTTTGGCTGAGCTCCTCTCAAGGCGATGGCAGAAGTCGTTGCCTGGTACTCTCGGCGCAATAAATACATTCGCAGTTCCTCACGATTACCTTCGGGAGGTGGGGGCAATATTTTTGAAGGTCGGAGCTCCGTACGCCATGAGTCAGGCGTCTGCGATGTATGTAGTAGTGTTAGAAGGTAGCCACCTCCACGGCCGGACGAGAGGAACGACACGCGCGCACACTTTTCGGTTGAGGCGGAAACCAGCGCACGTTAATCAGAAGTCAAAAGATATTTGTTTCTCATGAAACAATTTACAGAGACGAGTACCGGTGACTTAATCCTCAATAAATTTTGCCTTAAATTTGATGCTTCCTAAACAAACTAGTATTAGAAGGACGCGCTTTGTGCACTATCTGACACGAAAAGTTGCCATGTCAAAATCGCTAGGTTTTAGCAAATATTTGGCTGCAGTTCTATGAATATAGTGAACTAGTATATAGCCATGAACTAAATGTGGGGAAAAGTGGGAAGGAGACACGAAGCGCAGGTCATAAGAAAGTGCGCCTGTGCCACTTCTCGTTTCGTCCTTGGAATGACCACTGGATGGTGGTACATCTATATTGCACCACCATCCAGCCGTGAATGCCAGCGTCGCAAGACACCACTTTTAAAGCCTGCAGGCCATCTACAACCGATTGATCCACCCCCGACACTGTTTGATCAAGTGGGAATGGGCCTCCTAGGCCCGTTTTCTTTGCCTTCTTCCGGCAACAAATCGATTATTGTCGCAAGTGATTACTTGACGCGTTAAGCAGAGACGAAGGCATTGCCACGAGGGACCGCAGCTGAAATTGCCAGTTTTTCATGCATCAAATTGTGCTACGACATGGCGCTCCGTCATATGTCATCACTGATCGAGGGACATCATTCAAAGCGAAGGTCTTGGATGATATGTTCAGGTTGAGTTGTACAAACCATCGAAAGATCACTGCGTATTACCCTCAGAGTAATGATTTAAAAGAAAGGCTAAACAAAACGCTAGCCGACATTATCTCTATGTACGTGGATGTGCAGCAAAAAACGTGGGACGACATCCTGCCGTACGCAACATTTGGGTACAACACTGCAACGCAGGAAACTACACGCTTCACGCCATTTCAACTCCTTTATGGTCGAAATGTCAGAACTATGCCGGACGCCATGATTCCGTATGAGGACATCGACAAGTTCGACCAATTAGCCCCCAACATCAATCAGTACATTGAGCATGCTGAGGAAGCACGTCAACTGGCCCGTGTGTACATCAGAACTCAACAGTGCGCAGATGCACAGCGGTACACCATTTGCCATTGAGAAGTTATTATGAACCTGGTGACCAAGTTTCGGATTGAACACCCGTTAGGTGGCGAGGTCTCAGTGAGAAACTCTTAAGGAAGTCCTTTTGACCTTACAAAGTACTCAGACGTGTGAGCGACGTCACCTACGAAGTGGTTCCAGATGGGGCTCACCATCATCCCAGCGCAGGTTACCACGCCCAGAGACTGTACATGTCGTCCACCTAAACCATACTTTACGCGGTGGTGCAAGTTTTCTTCGTGTGCCAGTGAACTCTTTATGTGAACATTGAATGCCATTTATTTCCGATTGCTGGGCTCAGGACGAATTTTTTCTCGTGCGCTTCTTTGTTTAATGTTTGTTTATATTGCCTACTTTGACCCACTAGCGTGCACAATTTTTTGAGCATCGGGTTGATGCTCTCTTGGGGGAAGGATTATTGCCACCTGGTGTTCCGTGCCAGTGAACAGTGAGCCAGTTCTGTGCCAGTGAATGAAGAAGACAAAGACGAGCAACCCATGCCAGCAGAGACGTCCTTCTTCGTGTCTCAGGTTTTGACAGTTGTGTCTCCTTGTGCTGTTCTTAGAGCTCCTAGCACGTGACAAGAGGCTTAATATATGATGAAAAGATGCGAGATGGCGATAGTTGGAGGATTCACTAGATGGACAGAAGGACAGATAGACAGATGCATGGATGAATGGACGCAGGGACGGTCGCACAGACAGACGGAAGCAAGAACGAATGGACGCTTCGCCCCACTCATCATCATGCACTCCGTGGAAATGCTATGATATTTTTTTTTATTATGGACACACTCCGCTAGATTTTTCCGCTGGCGTTGGTGTCGCCGTCACTCACCGTAAATGTATGTGCATCTATATTAACGAAAACTCAACAATAAAATCCTGAAAACAACTCAGGCACACGCGGAATCAAACATGGAACCTCCGAGTCGTGAATGCCAGGCGTTAACCACTGAGCCACCAAAAAGCACGTACTTCAGCATTAAAACGGCAAGCTATTTATATGTACCACTCACCGCTGGTGAAGGTAATTTCGGGGAGGGGGGAACCATTGCGTTTTCAGCATTACCAGCGAGATGACGCAACGAGCGCGCAGCGGCGTGCGTTCGCATCTCCCACGCGCACTTTGCCCCTCAGAATAGAAATCGTATTGATGCTCGTTCAACCACCTTTATTTCTTGGTGGGGACGATCATACGTCTTGGCTGGCGTTGGGTTTTCGCTACAACGTTTTTGTTGCAGTTACCGGACGCGCAAAGGTCACTGCAATCGTTGCACAATCTGCGCTTGCGAAAAGGGTGCGCTTTTTAGACACTGGGAAGTAACAACTGAGATGCTTATTCACGTTTTTCTGCGCGTGTGAGTACGTTTCGTGCGTTATTTCTGCGTGAGAAACGCGGGGCACGTTACGATCTGCTTGACATTCAGCGCGTGACCTGCCAATTTGTTGCTATCGCATTCAGTGCTTCGTCTTTGGAGCAAAGCTGTGACTTTTGTTGTTGATGCGCTTACGAAGTACATGTTTTAAGTTGTTACGCCACTTAATCATTATACTTTAAAGCTTTTGGCGTGCATGTTGCTGACGGTATCATAGTTATTGTGGTTGTTTGAGTTGATTTACAGAAATTATCGAGGCAATGATCAGAAATTTTGAGTCTAAATTGACAATGAACGCATTGCTGTCCAAGGGGTGTGACGAGGCATCACCTAATTAGGCGACAGGTGTGTTCCTACTTGACAGCACCACCTATTATAGATACATTATTAACCAGGTATAAGTAAGCTTTTTTTATGTATATCCAGAAGAAAAATAGATGGTCACCTTTTCCTAGCAGGAAGACGTGTTTCAAAACGGTGCCGATTGAAGCGCGTTCAGGGGGTCCCCAAGTGTGCGTTTTCACTCGGATAGTGACGTTTGCACACGTCTTGATTTGATCGCAGATGACGCTCGTCCAGCTTGGATCAATCAGGGTACCGTTGTTGCACGTCACGGCGCTCCTATTATAGGTGCTTTCATCGATGACCTCTACGGTGTAATAGTCGAAGCAAGCATCAGGCCGTTGCCAATTAAGGACGAAGGTGTCTTCATCAACGGCACCTAGTGTCAGGTTTGTCACCTCAGGTGGCACTGCGTAAGTAAAAAAATTATCACATCTGTTCAAAAGGGATGCAGTTGACAAAATTAGTACCTGCCAGAAATAGAGCGGCGTATACTTTTTCGAAAAACCAATACTGCAGTAATACGGAAAGAACTTTAGCGAACGCACACGAGGACACAGATGACGGCGTTGGTTCCTGTGTTCTATGGTCTGGGTCCTCGTGTGTGCGCGCTAGAGCATATGCAATGATATAGAATAATATTTCTTTTACCAAAGCATCACCCTTCATCAAAAATAAGAGTAGACTTATACTTCTACGTGCAGAACAATCAATTTTCAACTGCTGCCGTTTGTAGCACACTGTATCAGTAAAAAGGTTCGAGGCCTGTGCAGAAGACGCAGCAATGTCACTGCACACTCTCGAGCAACATTCTTACAAGAGCCTGTATTACACCCTTCAAGTGCGTCTGTTGGAAGACCGGAACATGGAGTGCAGCGTTTACATTGTGGTTGTAGAAAAAAAAAGGGTAACAATAGAACCACAACCGCCTTTGAGCTTCTCTCGAGCTTGTACAGCAACCAAGCTTGTGTAATGGACTCGTATGCTCAAGTACGCGTGCTGAAACCTGCCTGTGTGCTGCGAAAATATCACTGCTATAAAAATTTCTCTAGCATTGAAATATTCTTGCAACGTGTTTATTAGGCTCACAACAACAATCTATTAGAGCTGGCCCGATGGACGGTGGTGCCTACTGCAGTTCTTCGTCTCCGCACGCGCTTAGTATGGGGGCGCCACCACCCAGCTCGCCTGGTGACAAGTAAAATGTAAAGCCTTCTGCAGAATTGGTGCGCTACGAACGCATCATTGGTAAAAATATATCAAGCATAAATTCAAACAACATAGGGAGCTTGTTCATGCGTTGTTGTACCTAGCACAAAAGTACGTAACGTTTGGGGCGTATATACAGTGTTGGTGGGCCCGCAACTTGTACCACAACTACTGACGCGACCGTTACGGTACGACCAATGAGCACAGCAGTTTAGGTTTTCACTTCCGCTCACACGACTCCCTTGTAACCGCGTCATCGTGCGCGTCTTGAATGTCATGCAGTAGTTTGTCTGTGCATTGTGTTAATAACTTTATGTGGGCTCTCACGTGCTAAACCCACTGTATGATTATGCGAGGCGCCGTAGTGGTAGCCTTCGGCAGTTTAGACCTTCTGGTGGTCTTTAAGGTTCACTGACATGGCACAGTACAAGGGCCTCAACCATGGCGCCTCCGTCGAAACGCGATCGCTGCGGCCACGATTGATATATGTGTACATATGTTCACTCCGTGGAATCACGGCATCGACGTATCATATAGAAGCATCCTGGAACAAATCTACAGGGGATCAACTGCTACTATAGTGCTTCATAAAGAAAGGAACAGAATACCAATCAAGAAGGGTGTAAGGCAGAGGGATACAATCTCCCCAATGTTATTTACCGCGTGCTTACAGGAGGTTTTCAGAAGCCTAGAATGGGAACAGTTAGGGATAAGAGTTAATGAAGAGTACTTTAGTAGCCTGCGCTTCGCCGATGACATTGCATTGCTGAGTAACTCAGGGGACGAATCGCAACTTATGACTTCGGATTTAGACAAGGAGAGCAGAGATGTAGATCTTAAAATTAATCTGCTGAAAACGAAAGTAATGTGCAACCACCTCGAAAAAGAGCAGCGCTTTGAAATAGGTAATATTGCACTTGAAGTTGTAAAAGTCCACGTCTACTTAGAACAGGTGATAACCGCGGAGTCGAACCACTAAATTGAAGTACTTAGACGAATAAGATTGGGGTCGAGCACATTTTACAAGCACTCTCGAATCATGAGAGGTAGATCGCCACGATCCCTCAAGAGGAAGGAATATAACAGCTGCATCTTGCCAATGCCTCGCTACGGAGGAGAAACCTGGAGACAGACAAAGAGGGTTCAGCTTAAATTGAGGAAGACGCGGCGAGCAATGGAAAGGAAAATGGTAGGTGTAACCTTAAAAGGCAAGAGAGCAAAGTAAATTAGGGAACGAACCAGGGTTAAGAATATCATAGGTGAAATCAAGAAGAGGAAATGAACATGGGCCGGGCACGGAGCACGTAGACAGGATAACCACTTGTCATTAAGGGTAACTATGTGGATTCGTAGAGAAGGCAAGCGGGTTAGGGGGAGACAGAAGGTTAGGTGGGAAGATGAGATTACGAAGTTTGAGGGTATAAATTGGCAGCAGCAAGCACAGGACCGAGTTGGCAGGCGGAACATGGGAGAGGCTTAAGTCCTGCAGTGGACAGAGTCAGGCTTTTTATTATTATTATTATTACTATGAAGATGATAATAATCACTCCCCTCCTTAAAAAAACATGTCAGGTTGGAAGAGAGCTGGTCCCTCTACGAATAAACACAGGTATATGGTTGTTTTTTTGTTTTTCGCTACTTCTCTGCACCTTCTGACATCACCGCATGGGCACCATGTTGTACGTGCACTGGCGTCGTCTTCGATGTCTATATTTGGTCAGGAGTCCAATGTTCCCGACCAAATATAATTCTACTGGGTTGTTTGAGCATAAGTGATGCCATGACAAAACAAAGACGGACGCGCCGGTGCCGTAAGGCCTATGACATCAATAATTAACACTCTCATTCTAAATCTTTTTCTAAATAAACTCGGCAAGAGAAGACATGGCACCTACTGCGAGGTAGTGGCATCTATATTAATAAAATTGCCTAGCTTTGCACCTCCTGTGGTGCAGAAGTAAAACTATTTTCTTTTCACGTCATTGTGATCAGCATTAGGTTTATAGAGGCCATGAATTTATAACTTGCCTCTCACCTATTTTCACGCTTGCGCATGATCACCAGTTATTTTATTATTTTTGACGCCCGTGAGAATCGCCGAAAAGCTTGCAAAATAAAAGGAGTGAGAACAAGTTTGTTCAAAAACATCTAGTTAGGGAAATTACGGTTACCTAGAAAACTATCACAAGTTGAACGTTACGTAGAATAATGCATTTCGAAGGTTGCGGATCATTTAAGTGCACCTTGACGAAGTCATCAAGTGTAATGGACACGTGTGTTTGCGTGAAGGTACTAAGACATCTGTCTTGTTTGAATCGTTAGAACTGCGACGTATGGTTCAGATATTCTCTTGTATTTTTTATTCATAGAGAAAAGCTACCTGCTTCAGAGCCACCAATCTTTTTTGTGTGCTATTGTTGACGTAATGATCAGTTCAATTTGTAAAACTTAGTGCCATAGGCTGATAGATGTGTAGGAGCGTCGCAAATAGGGCCGGACATAAGGTGACTAATTATGTCGATGTCACTCGTCGTCTTAACTTATCTCCAAGAAAACAACAAAGGTGTGGTGATGGCAGCAATTCGTACCACCACTTTTTTCAGTCAACGACTTTCTAGATTCTTCGCATAGAAAAATATAAGATATACACTGATATGTGTATATATTTTAGTGTCTACAATGAGCCCTCGAGCGACTGTGGAAATGTATTTCAAAGCCAATGTTTAACATGTTCCCGAAACCAGGAATAATAATAGCAGCAATCAATGTTTGTTGAGTAAAAATGGTGGTATGATCAGTTCATGGGACTCTCAATTCAGCGATGCACGAGCCCGTGCCATTCGCTAGGTTTGGACAAAAGGATCAGTTAAATGTCCGTTTACGTGCTTTTGGAACCCGGTTTGCTAGTGCGTGTTCTTATTTTTTTACATTAGCCCCCAATTGGAGTTTATTTTTGGTTTAGCGAATTGTATTGATGCGTAATGTGCGCAAGTACGGGGATCTCCTCACGTCTGCTCGTGTTGGGGGGGGGGGGGGGAGGAGTTACGTGGTGTTCTCTGCAAAGTTTGAAAGTGTGTTTGCTTGTACTTGGTGCCACTCCTGAGGCTAACCTGATTACGTGTGGGTGTGGATTACCATACTTCTGGTAGTAGCACTGGTCATTTTTTTAAAATACCATGCAAATTCTTCGGGGGTATCTAGAAATGGTTTGCAGGTACCGGCGCGGTAAATGACGAGCTAATGATTCGTCTTATCGATTCTCTCCAGAGAAAAGTCAGCGTGGGACCGGATGATGGCGTCCATTCCTCGTAATGACAGTTTTTAATTTTCCCTTGAGTGTGTATTCAGAATCGCAATTGGAATAGAATCACTCTATCTGTGAGATAAACTTGTGAATAAAGAAAATAACGTACCTTACTTGACCGAGCATACACTGGAGCTGCGTCGTGACACCTGTGTTCCAGATGTTTTGTTTGTAACTGTACGTAATTCTTGGATGATTTCATTAAAATAGCTTTTGGGAACTATACACCACCTCTATTTTCGCTCACATGTGTAGCATCTTTTTTGTGAGCGTCTTTTTGGCGCTACGAAAATACGACACTTTCATGATTGAGGGCATGTTGACTTGTGAACAAGCACTTGCGCATGTGCGCGTGAATTCGCTTGTGATTGCCTTAGTTCCGCGCCACCTTTTCACTTCAAGCATGTAGAAATGTAGGCCAAGAATAAGTTCTACCACAGTCCTTCAATACATTTACTGGTCAAGAAGCATCGGCGATAGTTATATATATTACCAAAAGCAACCGATAGGGGTTTCTTTGCCCATGGCACAGCTTCGGCGCCGGCCAAAAATGGCAGGGACGGCCACTGTGAAACGTTAAAAAATATAGCCGAGGAGGTGTAATGTGTCTTCAGAGTGATGTTGCTTCAAGAAAATTCGGCAGAGCTCTAATACTGTGAAATATAGCGTCGAATGAGGTCTTGAAGCTACAAATAAGACGACGTGCTGATTCCACTATATTATATGCCACCGCTTTAAACGCATTCTTCTCTTTTTTTGCTTTCTGAGACATCTAGTGAAAATTCGTGGCCAATAAAAAGTTGACTGATGGTTCTAACACGTGTCGGGAGTGCAGTGGTTGCAAGTTTTGACAGTGTATATTCAACCTTTCAGGCTATACATACATTCGTTATTTCCTTTCAATGATATATATTTTAAATTTGCCTCGCAATTATTAAACAATGGCCACTTTGAATGATCCGATGCTTTGAATGTAGCAAGTCATGAGGATCAATGAATACTGTGTAATACTTTTGCTTTGTTTTCATTTTCTTGTTTTGCGTTTATTTATAACTTAGGCCCCATAGTGCGTTCAAACTATGTTTGACCTTGCAATGTAGTTTCTCTGTCGTTTACTCTGCTGAGTAGCCTATTCATGATGTGTTTACCTGTCCTTCATAATTGTGTTTACTGCTAAGGCGAAAGCCTTACATGCTTCCTCAAACGTGAAAACTGAACGACTGCGTATCGCACCAGTGCCATGGCGTCAACATGTGATGCAAGAAGTTATATTCTCGTTCTCATGACCCATTAATAGCGAAGATTAACCGTTTACGCTTTCACAACTTGTGCAAGTTCTGTAGATCATTTTGGTGACACTTCTTGCGCCGTCACCCTCGCAAGCTTCTATTGGTAGCTATGGAGTCTTTGTTCCATGCAACGGATGCTTTTTCACATTTCAAGCTGTCAGGAGCTGCATGCAGTTTCGCCTGTTTGTCACGTCACCTCTACACTTTTGGCCATCTCAGTGCCTGTGTAAAAAAATGGCAAGCATTTCACTCAACGAGACAACGAAAATAAATTGCGAAAAAGGCAGGAAGGTTAACCAGAATTTTAGCATCTGGTTTGCTATTCTGCACTATGGAGAAAGAGAATGAGGAAGAAAGATGCAACGAGGGATGGGCGGGAAGATGCTCACCTTCATTAAATGCGTTATTATTTATTTCAGCAGGGGCGTGAGCACTGAATTTATTTGCACTATACAAACACTTCGAGAGGCCTTGGAAAATCCCCGGAACAGCGTCCGAAAAAAGTTATTAAACGCTGCGTGGTGACTTCACAACAACACCTCTGATTGGCCACTGGTCCACGCGAACGATGACACCCTAATCGAATTGCTCTTCGCAAACGCGCACATTAAGAGATTCAAAGGTGAAACCACTAGTTTCCTGTAGCTGCATTGCGCGATTTCACTTTGCCCGCCGTTCACTATATCTATGCAGTGAAAACATAGACAAACTTTCGTCATTTCTTTTGTAACCGGATTTACAACCGGATACACATGAGGTGTACGGCATACTTCCCGATCTTCACGCACAGCACACTAGATACACTAGAAATCATACGGTTGAAACGTGCGCGATGACACGCCACGATCTTGTGCAGTAACCCCGGCAGCCAGCTTCCCTCCGTTCTGCCCGACGCCCCACGCGATGATGCAGCACCGCCACGCTGCACACGCTCGCAGCGCACAAAGCTCCCCTTTGGAGGTACGGGGGGGGGGGGGGAGTGATTGTAAAGAAAGAAAAGAGAAAAGTGAGCCCCTTAACTGTCTGTCATGGGGAGGACACCTCAACAGTAGCTCACGAGGGATGGGGCCAGTGGAGGGATTAAAAGGATAGGATTAAAAGGTAGAAAGATGAAAAGAGAGGAAGGATCGAGCGAGGCGCAGGGACAGCGGACGAGGAAGTAAGGAGAAGACAGGAAAGATAGACACAGTTGCAGGAGTCCAAGGAGGGGGCACCGCTGGCGAGAGCTCCTGTCGACGACAGGAGACTGCGTAGGGCTAATCCACTTGGTCAGAGCTACGCTGTCGTCGTCGTCGGGGACCGGCGGCAGGAGGTAGTGTAGGACAACCCAGTCGGCCAGAGCTGCACTGTCGTCGGAGATCACGAGGGCAAAGCTGGTCGGCACGTAATCCAGCGAGCGAGTCTTAGTTACGGTGACGCTTCACGGCCAATACAAGTATTGAAGGACTCTGGTTTTGCTAGAATGTTTTTCACGCGTACATGGTATAAGCAAGTAAATGTTTGCCAAGAGAATCATTTACCCACTTACTTGCTCGTTCAGAAGTTCTCTTACCTAAGGCGGGAATGAGGATGTCTTGTAGAGAGACGCCATGAGAAGTGCGGGAAGGTGGTCCACTGATATGGGTGCGTACCTGGAAGCTTACTTTGCTGCAAGGCTGGAGCTGACTGCAGGTGACCTGTGTCCAGTCAGCGTGAATTATGGTGCCGTTGACACACGACCCTGTCGTGCCAGGTGTTGCCCTCGTGCCAACATTCGTAACACCCGTGACATCAATCCAGTAGTAGTTGAAACTGAACTTCGGTTTTGTCCATGCAATGGTGAAGTCATTCGCACTGATTCGCACAAGATGTAAGTTGGTCACGTCAGGAGGAACTGCAACAAGGCAACCACGCAACGTAGGATTATTTTTTCGCAGTTCTTTTATCAGTTTCTTTACTGGTATGGCTGAGACAAGTTATTTTGCGTGCTCCTAAAATATTCTGAAATGATCTATTATTATAAAGTTGCGCTTTTCACAATATTTCATTGGTAATACTTCAGAATGTTTCAAGTTCTCGAATACTTCATGGTCAAAATAGTGCACACCCATTACTTTTTTTTGTGTCGGCCACTCGCAATCAAGTTTTGTAAATTGCCAAAAGAAGGCTTCGTAAGGTCGAGAAATCAAACAGTTGTTGTGATTAGAAAAAAAACGCAGTTCTAAAAAACAAAGAAAAAAAAGGCCGTTGATCTTTCTAATATTGAAATTGATATAAAGCACAAAAGTATAATGTGTCTTCACAGAAGTATAGTTGAATGCTTATTACACATTGATGTTTAATGTTCACTGGTGTTTAGGGGCTACAGCACCCACATGATGTTGAGGCACCCATACGATGCAAAGTGGAACATCTTCTGCACCACGACAACCAACCCCTCGGGACCGTAGTGCACTTTGCGTAGACACTGCATTGTACGCCGTGGAGCATCGCACAAATCACGAATGAAGCGGAGGCGTTCGTGAACCCTGCATGTGAATACCATACAGGTTTTCACTCAATCAATTTGTGAACTCATGGTCTGCTGCCGCGAATGGTGTGTGATTTGCAGGTTGGCTACCACTCTGGAACGTACTTGGCATGCGACTTCGTATAGGCGAGCAGCGCTCCGCTGGTGGTTCACTTCCGCGTAGATAAGATGACTTCAGTCCTGCTTCGGTTTCTGTATGACAGTCAGCTGGGTCACAATGGGCTGAACTTCATAAACGCAAGAAGCATAGTTCTCAGCCTGATTCGTGAAACTGTGAAGGCCTCCCACTCCTTTTGACGTGTCCATTGCTGCACCAAATTCATTTGTGTGACATTCGATCGTACAGGACGTTGTCCGTGATGGCACTTTATGCCACAGTTCTCGAAGTCGGAGCTATCGCACTAGAATCAGTAGATGGCAGAGATACCTAATTGATGCATATGGAAGTTGTACTACACTGCACAAGCTAGCACAGCGCCAAAGACGAAAAACATAACTCACACCAGTACCGCGCGAAAAACAGGGCACGTAACTGCGTCGTCACCGTGTCAACTAAGTGCATTGAGCACGTCTCAATTAAGGCCTCCACCTGTGGCTTTCGAAATCAGCTCGAGAAACTTTGTCGGAGTTCCTTGTGGAGGCCCCGCTACACTGTTTCAAGTAGCGCCAATGTCACCTCGGTGGCGTTGGTAGGGCGCTTTGATGCCAGCGTCCATTCCAAAGCTGGCATACAGGCGCCATGATGCTGAGACTAACGCTGCATTCTCTGATCGATGTTAGGGTCATAAGGTGGTACTTCTCCGCTCTAAGGTGGAGGCACCACCTCGAGAAACGAAAAACGCAGCTACAGAGCGAATGATGGCTACATATATAAAGCGCGTGTGATGGACGCATCGGAACTTAGTCACGGCCTAAGAGGTTAATTGGCCACGCAGCTTTCCCAAACAAGCTATTGTGAAGAAAACGCCTGCATACACGTGGGCTCGCGGTCCGTAGAAGCTGCCACAGTCATATCCATTTGTTGCTTCCCGCCACTGAACGCTCGTTTCAATGAAAGGTACCGTGGTTTCAGGTCATGGAAACGCATCCCTACTATGCTTCTAGTGGACAGCATGTCGCATACGACTGAGATTCACAAAGGCCTCCCCATCGCCAGATGAGCCACGAAGGGTAAAAGGCAGCGCTCTTGCATTGAGGCACGACGAAAGTCTCCGCAGTTGAAAGCTAGGAACTTGCCTATCGCTTGTCGCATTGTCTGGGTAATAGGCGGAAAACTTCGGCAGTGTCTCTGAAACTTGACCACATGCACAAGCAAGCACTCGGCCCCCTCCGAACAAAGAAAGCCAAATGAAGGATGGCAAACAAACTTTTGTTGCTTAGTTTGGTATCAAAAAGCTCACGCTCAAAACTCTCAGGACTCGCCTATGCTGAGAAACCAAACGTGCTCCGCCATCAGCTACAAAGTAATTGGTTCTAGCATTGAGTACCTCACACTCGACTGTGCTGTATTTTTTATGCTGAAAGCTACTTTCCTTGTGCGTACTTGCAGTCGACATTGCTTGCTCGAAGTTTTCGATATGTCGCGATTTCGCGACACTCGAGAGTGAAGTGTCAAAAATAGTCCGCTTTCCATATACAAGTGACGGCTTATGTGAGCATTCGACAACTTCACCCTCCGGCGAACGAGAGAGCATGTATACATACAGATGCGCATGCAATCGGCGCACCTTTAAGGGGCAATTTGTTGGCAAACAAAATGAAAAGTAATCGTTCCCATGGAACTTGCAACATCCACCAATATCGATGTTTCGGAGTTTGAAATCGAAACTCACCCATTATTGGCGTCCGTATTTCTGCTACGGCTGCCCGGCTGCTCATTTCGTCCGTCCCACAGCGCGCTTTACTCGTTACAAGCACGCAGTACACCGTGTCCTCTGCACTGTCGAAAATTATTGAACTCTCTGACGTCACGTGCTCCCTGCAATTGCTCAAATTGTCCACTTCGGCACACGTCGTGAATGATCGGCATATCTTCACGCTGTACAATAATAAAACGGCAGCCACTTTGTTGGTGTAGTCCCAGTGCAATTGTGTGCGTGATTTTGATTTCGGTATCATAGTAAGGTTCGTTGGTGGGTTTGGCTCTGAAAGAAAACAAAGCATTAGCATTAAGACGAACGGATGGTGGTACATTCTTTGTAATCAGAGGGAAATAACGAAGTCTGGCCTTTTTTGTTTTGCAGTGTCCCGTCAAGAGATAGAAAGCTGATTTATTAAATGGCAGAAAGGTCAGCCTGACCTATAGCTTTTTCTAGCCTACTACTCTGCAAAGGGAATTGAGACAGGGAAAAAATAAAAGGATGAACGGTGACGACGGGGACAGAAGTTATGCGTATACAAAATAAGGGACAAAAACGTATTCGTGGTCACCATCATATTGCTGCAATAGATAATTGATGAGCTGCCTTCAAAGAATCCCCAACCCCTATATTTAAGGGTGCGGCGGGTCCTATGAACAAATAGCGATGACATATACGCATTGAAAGAATACACATATCTTTGCCCGAGTAAAAGCGCTGAATATTTCGAATGTACCACAGCAAACAGGTCATTAGGAGAACCACGCTTTGCTGCCCATTTATCTCGTGTATTTCACTTGTGTGACCAGTACTTTCCACAGTTTAAATGGCCAGGCTTGGCCTGACAGTCCCAACGTGGAAGCAGCCCGCTGCGCGTTGAGTCGTGCAGCTCAGGGCTTCAAATAAAGTTTCGCATCTAACCATTCAATGAGTCAAGACTATCAGTGTATATTCAAGTGGTTACACTTTAACCTGCCATTGGTTGATCAAACATGTAAGCAAAACAACAAATAAAGTTTCGTTGGCCAAGTTCACAGGGGAGAAACATACCTTCATTACCACTGCTCTCAAGCTTAGTGGGTCATAGTACTCAAAACAATGTCCAATAGAAGGATTATTCACCCACAAATTTGGGCAGATATTCTTAAGAGCAGTGAACTTGAGGAGCCTGGCTTAACTTCCACTTACGCATGTCATGCGATATGACCGCACTTTCAGTAAAGTGCCGAATACCAGCCATACTAAGGCTACCAATGCTCAAAACCGGGTTAAAGTAACTGAAGCAGCTGAAAATATCCTCATTATCAAATAACCCATAAGAGCCTCACATTTGCTTCAAGTTGCTCTAACACTTTGAAAGAACGCACCCTACTGAAGTGCCGCTCAAGAGATAGCGCCAGCCTCGTCCGAAGCATGATAGCTCTCCTGACGTGTACATCGCCGGCGTTTGGTCGCTACATCTGAACGGGCAAGCGACGCGAGAAACCTCGCGGCAGACGACACGTGCACCTCAACAGCTGCAAGAAACAGGAATTCGATAGAGCGCACCGATAGTGCTGGGCATGTTGCGCTCCCAGTTTGCGAAACACCCCAAGTTTGCACTAGTGTCACCTAAGCCCTACACGCTTACCTCAACCACTAAGGTCATCATCTTTCTTGTGTTAAAGGAACACTGTAAACTCTACAAATGGAAGTCGCTTTATCACCCCATGCAGCACACTTTCCGAGATGTCGCTGTACTGCAGCAGAACCTTGATGTTTTTCGCGCTGTTAATTTCTAAAATGTCATTCATGGGGATAATGGCTCGAACGTATACCGTACTTCATGCGAAAAGCAATACACACACACACACACATATATATATATATATATATATATATATATATATATATATATATATATATATATATATATATATATATATATATATATATATATATATTGATTCAAAAAAGAAATCCTGTGGGTCCGGTGCAAATATAATTAAGAAATAAAGGAGCACACCTACGAAAATTTGATAGTTGTTTACGTTTTGGACGTGGTACGGCCTTCGTCAGGATTAACCAAGTTAATCCTATCAGGTTAATCCTGACGAAGGCCGTGCCATGGCCGAAGCGTAGAGTACACAACTATCAGATTTTCGTAAGTGTGCTCCTTTATTTCTTAATTATATATATATATATATATATATATATATCAAAAAGCTCATTAAGTATACTGTCAACAGAAGCTGCTATATATACGAATACGATATCTGCTCTTAGGAGTGCTGGAGTGCCCCTGTAACCACTGCTAGCAATGACGCAATGACATACCTTCAGGTGGTATGAAGATGTCCTTTACTTGGACACCAGGCGAACTACGCTCTTCTGGTCCGTTTAAGTGAGTACGCATGGCGTATGAAAGCGTCGTGCATTGCTCGTATGGCCCGCAGGTGAGTTGCGTCTTGTCAGGGTGAATGATGGTGCCGTTTGCGCACAGACCGAGCTTGTGTCGGTGTATGGGGCTGCTGCCGTTCTCGATGGCTTCAATGGAATAGTAGTCAAAACGTCCTTGAGGCCTCTGCCAGGATAGCGTTACGTAGCCATTTTCGATTTGCAGTCGGCGATAATTCGGAGACGTCTAACAGTTCTGAAAAAGAACGTTCATAATATCAGTTGAGTGCCGAGTGAATGGCGCTTCTTTAAACGTGGCTTGGTGTTCCCAGGCTTAAATTGAGAATGACCTCCTAATAATCAACACAATTACCATTTCGACCAAGATGTATATTATCATGTGAATTGTAGTATGTAGCCACTGTTGAGATCACATTTTTCAAACTCAGCCATTGGGCACCCATTCTCGCTGTGAACGGCGTTGCCATCGTCGTAGCCGGCAGAGCGAAGCTGGACAGAGAGGGCGAATGCTCAAAGGAGTGGATGATGAAACTGGGTGACAGCGAATATAGCGCGAGGAGGATTTATTGACAGTGACGAGATGATACGTAGGAGTGATAGCAGTACGCGCCGTCATGCATCAGCTGTTGTAGAACGCACCCAACACGCCTGCTTTCGAGGTCTCTAGTCAGTGAGGCAGTCGCGACGTGCTCCGTCTGTGGCAGTTGAAGTGAAATTGACTGCACAGTATTGTCTCCATCAGTTATGCTACGGCTGGGGTTATCTTTCTAATGTAAACTACTTACATGTGTACAAAATAGTCCCCGCCAGTTTTGTCTGAACAATGAGCAACGCCACGGCTGCAAGTGTTGCTGCGAAAGGAGCTGCCCGAGCAGAAGGTAAACCCCGCGTCGTATCGGTGTGTTGCTGTCGTTTCTCTATGCTATATGTGCTAAGACGTTGTTCTTAGCCACATCATGATAAGTTTTTCACTTGGTAAACTTATCGAATACTTCCTATGCACGATCGTGATGTCTATATACACATACGGCTTATGTGTCTTCACATAAGGCATTGGTTGGTAGTCAGTGCTGCGTTTATGTCATACCGGTATGTTCCTGTTCTTCCTGTGCGCTATATGTGTTAAGACAATGTTTTAGGCCCCACCATATTCAGTTGTGCTTTCGCTAAACGTACAAATAATTTCCGTGCACGATCATGATATCCATGTACGCATACGGCTTATGTGTCTTGGTATAAGGCATTTGTTGAAGGACAGTGCTGCGTCCATGTCGTATACCAGTGTGTTGCTGTCCCTTATGTGCCTTTTGACGACAAATATAATTTCTATTTCTATTGATGGCTGCGTCATCGTCTAGATCAAGCTGAATTTCATAATAACCTCCATCTGCCCGGGCAACTAAGTACAGGCAAGATGCAGCTAAGATATGGTTTTCCCTTGACAGGCGCGGTTTAACTGCTGATCTTGATTGGCGAATGCCTGCCAAAATAAATGCACACCAAATAATTCCTATTATTCAGTCACTTCCACCTGGTGGTTCAGATTACCTCTCTGTACCTGCCTTAAGCTGACCTATTTCTTTGAAGTTTCAATATATGATTTATTACAAGTGATATAACGTGAGCTTACCTGTGGTTTTATGGTGGTATTCTGACAGCTGGAAAAAAAGGAGAATTTCAATGGCATAACGCAAACTGTACGTCAATAATTAGCGCACGTAACATTATCATGGGAGTATCGTTTATGCGTTTTACAACATCTTGTTTTTCGTTGGTCTCCCGATTGCTCATTCGCGAAATATTTGATAAGCTCTTCGTAACCTCTAAGTGTTCGCACAAGCCTATCAATGTTACCCCGAACACTTCTAATCGCATCAGTGAAGGAGGCTGTATAATGACGAAAATTGGTGAAATTTTGGTCTGTCTGATACAGGCGGATTTCTTAAATTCTTCATTTCTTAAATTATTGGCAAACGTGATAGCACATGTTGAGCACAAATGGGCAGTACTCGCAGGAAGAGAAGCTACACCATTTCAATTTTTGAGGTGACGACTGCTATGGCTATTTGCGAGTGGTTAACGCAAATACTGGTGAAAATCAGGCCACCAAAATCAACGCTGACTATGTATTAAGCGCCCGTGCCAATTTTTTGCCAATATGGCTACCACTGTTGATACTGGAAACGTGAATGGGCATGTATTTATCTTTGATTTCTCGCATTTCAAAGAGTGAATTCTTTGAGCAAACAATTGCATAGTTGGATAATGAAAAAGCAAGCGTAGGCCATATGGCACGACTCTGGAAATTATAGTATATTGCCTGCAGAGCTGGACAACTAACGCATGGCAAATAGAATGTCTTGGTTGCGGAGTAGAAACATCACGAAATGCAGCATTTCTTATTTATTTCAATGCACATGCTGAAACTGATAAAGTGAACTTTAGAAGTGGTACCTATACGCAATACTTGTTGGGATGCTTGACCTAGTGCCTTTTTTTACTACTCGCATGCCGTGAGTACGCAAATAAGTATAAGCTAGCCTATACAAATCAATCAAAACCACAAAATTTAATTTACAA